TTTTCATTTTTTCCCTTTGTATGAAAAACTAAAAAAACATAACAACTTCACAAAACAACATGAAGAACTTTATCTCTCCCAACACAACAACATATGATCAACAAAACACATTCTCACTCAAAATCAATCCCTTTGCTCTTCTCTTTGTGCTCATGATTCTAATAGCCTCACCAGTTGGGATCCGCTCAGTCGATATCTCCGAACACCTCCAGCCGAGCCGCCGCCACCTCCACCGCCGGCCGCCACCGGCCGGCGGCTGTGAGATTGATCCAAGATATGGTGTGGAGAAAAGATTGGTTCCTTCTGGACCAAACCCTCTTCATAACTAGCTATGTATGTAGGTTTGTTTTTATTTTTTCCTTTTTTTTTTTTGGTAAATTGAGTTTTTGTTATAAAGGATAAAAACCGTAGTTATTTTTTTGGCTCCTATGGGTATGAAATTCTTAAAATCATCATAAATTTTGAATCTTGATTGTGTCTTGTAGTTTAAGGTGACTTTTTTGTTGACTTTGTTGACTCGAGGAAATTATTGTTGAAAAATAAATTGAATGAATTTGTAACAGAAGGATTAAAGTCTTTCCCTTAAAGTTTTAAAAGAGTGTTGTAAGTTGTTTCAATGTTACAATATTTATTTCACTTTATTAAATTTTGTAGTAAATGAAGGAGTTAATTAGGATGGGTTAAATTAGCCTATATAAGGAGTCTTCTTCTTTTGAAGAAAGGATACGAGAAGAAAAATAAACAATTGTTAAAGTCATTTCCCCATATCTTCTTTTAAGTGTTTTGGTCCAGGCATAATTCCAGTTCGCTGAATTTGTTTCGGTTTATCCGTTGTATCCTGGGAAACAGACGCTCATACGGGGCGAATCTGTTTTAAGGACATTGTGTTCTCACAGGCCTCGGTATTTTTTATTATAGCTATCTTATTTTTATATTCCCGATAAAGTTCCATACAATCTTAAAACAGATTTCGATTAAAGATGGCTGCTGAACAAAATACTATTGGCGTTGCTAATACCGGTGGTGCTACTACAATTTCTATTTCTCCTTCTGTTCCGGTAAATCATGCTGATAAACCGGAAAAATTTAATGGCTTGAATTTCAAGCGTTGGCAGCAAAAGATGCTTTTTTATCTCACTACGTTGAACCTTGCGAGGTTCTTGAATGAAAATCCACCAAAGTTGGGGGAAAATCCGGATGTTCAAGCTGTTAGTGCGCTTGATGCATGGAATCACTCGGATTTCTTGTGTAGAAATTATGTGATGAACTGTTTGGCTGATACACTGTACAACGTGTACAGTTCTATCAAAACAGCAAAAGAGCTGTGGGAGTCTTTGGATAAAAAATATAAAACCGAAGACGCTGGGGCCAAGAAATTTCTTGTAGGCCGGTTTCTGGACTACAAGATGGTTGACTCGAAGACTGTAATCAGTCAAGTGCAAGAGCTTCAAATAATCTTGCATGATATCTATTCCGAGGGAATGGTTGTGAATGAAACTTTCCAGGTGGCTGCCATAATTGCAAAGCTACCACCTAGCTGGAAAGATTTCAAAAATTATTTATTACATAAGAAAAAGGAGATGACCGTTGAAGAGCTCGTTGTTAGACTTCGAATTGAAGAAGACAACAAGGGCTACGACAACAAAATGGTTAATCCTCATTTTGCCAAGGCTAATGTTGTTGAGCATGGCGAAAGCTCAAACAAAAATAATAAGAAAAAAGCTGGCAATAATGGAAAGGCAATAATGGGGCCAAAGAAACAAATTTTCAAGAAAAAATTTTCTGGAAATTGTTATAATTGTAATAAACCTGGCCATAAGGCATCTGATTGTAGGTTGCCAAAGAAAACTCAAGAAGCCCACATGGTGGAAAATCTGGCCAAAGATGTTGATGAGATGCACCTCGCCGCAGTTATATCCGAGGTGAATCTAGTGGGCTCAAATCCACATGAATGGTGGATTGACACGGGTGCTACCCGTCATGTTTGCTCTAACAAGGAATTGTTTAATGTCTTTGACGAGACTGTGGATGGAGAAAAGCTCTTCATGGGAAATTCTGCCACATCTGACATCAAAGGAGTGGGAAAAGTGGTACTGAAGATGACATCTGCAAAAGAGCTGACTCTTAATAATGTCCTTTATGTACCAGAAATTCGTAAGAACCTAGTGTCTGGTTCTTTGTTGATCAAACATGGTTTTCGTGTAGTGTTTGAATCTGATAAGGTCATATTGACTAAAAATGGAGCATTTGTAGGAAAGGGTTATGAATGTAATGGGCTTTTTAAGCTCAATGTGATGACAATTAATAAAAATGTTAATTCTTCAGTTTATATGCTTGAGTCTTCCATTGTGTGGCATGGTAGACTGGGACATGTCAATTATAATACCCTGCGCAGGTTAATAAAATTGAAAAGCATACCTATGTTCCATATTGATTCAAAACATAAGTGTGAAACTTGTGTTGAAGCAAAATTGACACGATTACCATTTCAAACTATTGAAAGAAATAGTGAACCACTTGATTTAATTCACACTGATGTATGTGATTTAAAAGTTGTCACGACACGTGGTGGAAATAAATATTTCATCACTTTTGTAGATGATTGCACTAAATTTTGTTATGTGTATCTTCTCAAAAGTAAGGATGAAGCGATAGAGAAATTTATTCTCTATAAAAATGAAGTTGAAAATCAGTTAAATAAAAAGATTAAGGTGATAAGAAGTGACAGGGGAGGTGAATATGAGTCACCTTTCGCTGAATTTTGTGCCCAACATGGGATAAGACATGAAATGACAGCACCTTATTCACCGCAACAAATGGGATTGCGGAAAGAAAAAATCGTACTTTAAAAGAAATGATGAATTCAATGTTGTTAAGTTCTGGACTTCCACAGAATATGTGGGGGGAAGCTGTGTTGTCAGCAAATTACCTTTTAAATAAGGTTCCCCGTAAAAAGTTAGACAAAAGTCCATATGAATTATGGCATGGAAGACCATCATCCTACAAATACTTGCGAGTGTGGGGGTGTCTGGCAAAGGTAGCAATACCTACGCCAAAGAAAATAAAGATTGGACCAAAAACTGTGAATTGCATATTTATTGGATATGCACACAACAGTAGTGCTTATCGTTTTCTTGTACATGAATCCAAAATTGAGGAAATTCATAAGAATACGATACTTGAATCTAGAAATGCTTCATTTTTTGAGCATATATTTCCACGTAAGTCTGAAGTGGATTCTAGTTCCACTAAAAGAAATTTGAAAATAATGGAAAAGGATCAAGATGGATATGTTGAAGTAGAACCTCGGAAAAGTAAAAGAGGTAGGATAGAAAAATCTTTTGGTCCAGATTTTCTAACCTATATGGTTGAAAGCGAACCACAAACGTTTTCAGAAGCTGTAAATTCTTCTGAAGGACCTCTTTGGAAAGAGGCAATCCAAAGTGAAATTGATTCTATTTTGCAAAATCACACATGGGAGCTAGTGGATCTTCCTCCTGGAAGTAAACCATTGGGCTATAGATGGATTTTCAAAAGGAAAATGAAACCTGATGGAACAGTTGATAAGTATAAGGCTAGACTTGTGATTAAAGGTTATAAGCAAAAAGAAGGCTTGATTACTTTGATACATATTCTCCAGTACGAGGATAACATCCATCAGAGTGATTATTGCAATTGCAGCTTTAAGAAATCTTGAAATACATCAAATGGATGTAAAAACAGCTTTTTTAAATGGAGATTTAGAAGAAGAGATTTATATGGAGCAACCTGAAGGATTCTCTGCGCCAGGGCAAGAGAATAAAGTTTGCAAATTGGTTAAGTCTTTGTATGGCTTAAAACAAGCTCCAAAACAATGGCATGAGAAGTTTGATAATGTCATGATTGAATGTGGATTTAAATATAATGAATGTGATAAATGTGTTTATGTTAAAGACACAGAAAAGGGTTATGTAATCTTATGTCTTTACGTAGATGACATGCTTATCGTTGGAAGCAATGATAAAATTATTAAATCCACAAAAGATATGTTAAATTCAAGATTTGACATGAAAGATATGAGTCTAGCTGATGTGATTCTTGGAATTAAAATTCATAGAACATCACAAGGAATTGTTTTGAGTCAAACACATTATGTGGAGAAAATCCTTGAAAAATTTAATAAGGATGATTTGACTCAGGCTAGGACCCCGATAGATACAAGTCAACATCTGTCGAAAAATAAAGGAGAAAGTGTTTCTCAAGTCGAATATTCAAGGGTGATAGGGAGTCTGATGTATCTAATGAATTGTACTAGACCAGACATCGCCTTTGCTGTGAGTAAACTGAGTAGATATACAAGTAATCCAGGAAATGAACACTGGAAAGGAATTGTAAGATTACTCAGATACTTGAGATATACTTGTAAATATGGTCTGCACTACTGTAAATATCCAGCTGTAATTGAAGGCTATAGTGATGCCAACTGGATATCGGATATGAAAGATTCTAAATCCACTAGTGGATATTTATTCACTTTGGGAGGTGCAGCCATATCATGGAAATCTTCTAAGCAGACTGTTGTTGCCAGATCCACAATGGAGTCCGAATTTATAGCATTGGACAAAAGTGGAGAAGAGGCAGAGTGGCTTCGCCATTTCTTAGAAGATATTCCAAAATGGTCAAAGCCAGTGCCAGCGATTTGTATACATTGTGATAGTCAATCGGCTATAGGAAGGGCACAAAGTAATATGTATAATGGTAAGTCTAGACATATTCGTCGTAGACATAATACCATTAGACAACTACTCTCAACTGGTACTATATCTATTGACTATGTGAAGTCAAAAGATAATCTTGCGGATCCGCTAACCAAAGGGTTAAATAGAGAGTTAGTTGCTAAATCTTTGAGAGGAATGGGACTTAAGCCTCTAGAAATGAGTTGATACAATGGAACCCTACCTTGTTGACTGGAGATCCCAAGATCTTGGTTCAAAGGGACAACCTAATTGTAAAAAGACTCTTGTGATCACTGTAGGATTTTATCCAATGTCCATTCCTTAAACAGTGATACCCGTGGTGAGTAGGATAAGCATTTTGGCTTTTAATGATTCTTGTATGGGAAGGTAGTACGGGCTACTTATAATTATGAATCACCTATGTGAGAGAGAAGTGGGGCCGCTTTGAAGAGAATTGTGTGAGGCTCAATTCTTAGACCCTCTCACAGAACCAGGCTATGTCCAGGGCCACTAATGGACATAATAATGAGAACTGGAATATGTTAGGGAGAATCCTGTGTGAAGTATATTCATCGTTTACACAAAAGGCAGAACAGTTCAAAGACATCGCGTCT